CCCGTTTTCCATCATCTGCAAAAGACAAAGCAAGAACTCGAACAAGTTCCAATAAGGTCCCTATTCGATAAACATCCTATAGATACTAAGACATCATCAATTTTAGAAAAATATGCTGGGACTCTTAAAACATGGTAGCCAAGAACAAGCCCTCACCATTTCTGGATTCAACTCTGGAATATTAATATCCACCTGTCCATTGAATAATATTTCAGCCACAGTCAATTAAGATTTTGGTGGGTGCAGCTTAATCAAGTTCAAAGCTACGTAAGAAATATGAATTCTAACAGCAGAAGACAACTTCTATTGGCTATATATCCATGCATTCAATTCTGGATGACCTACGTCACCATCAAATTTAATTCCTTTTCATATTGCCTAAGATATCCACATTACTACACTTCAAGCTTTCATTAGATTACGAACTGCCTTTATTTCAGAGAAAGTCAGGGCTTCACTAACGGTAACATTGCCATTGATTGGTTTTTTTCTATCATTTGCTCACTTTTTTTTATATCATCACAGATACACGCCATTCCAATTGTTCACTTCTTTCTCATTTTCTTCGAAATTTTCCATTTCACTTTTTTGACTGTTCTCTTTCTCTTTCCCATTTTTCATGTTTCTTTCAGTTTAGTACTTTTATTTGGTTGTCTGATTTCTAATTAACATTCATTGCCTCCTTTTTCTTTTACTATTTTCTTTTTTTTAACAGTTTTGTAATCAAACTTTTTGTTTTATCATTTACCAAACTCCCTCCCTCTAGCTACCTCTGTTACCAGAAAATGACAGCATTCAGGAAGCATACTAACCTATTAAGTTCTGTTTCAGTCAGTCACTGTAGACAAGTAATTAGTTAATATGTGCCTAAGGACTGTTCACCTGCAGGCATAAGTTGCACCATATATCGGCCAGAAAGGAAGAAGAAAAAATGGGACAACGTACTGAATGCCAGCTAACTTAGCTGGTGCAAAGGATTGCATTTGCCTTCACTCAGGATAGAAGGATCTAACAAATGGAAGAAAGCTACTTCTCATGGTATAATAACCCAGCCAAGAAAGGAAAAACTCCTTCATTAATTATCCATGCTATTAAGTCCCTTGTTTTATCAAATAACAGAATCAGCTTACTCTAACAAACAAGACTTGTCTGTTCTACATTTCCGCATGGGATGAAAAATTCCAGTTTCTTTTTCCTTGGTAATAGTCGTTTTATGTCTTCATCATATATGTATATGGAGTTTCATTGTTTCGCACATTA